TGCCAGTTTTATTGGTATGTTTTTGTTTTTTTTTTTTTTTTTTGTTTTTTTTTTAACTCTGGGATTGCAGCTTGTAGTGCGGAAAATACGGTATTTATTTCATAAATAGTGTTATTTCCTGACTTTGGTTCTGTGAAGAACCCAGAGGGGGTTATTTGATTGTGCTTTCTGGGAAATAAATTTTTACATTTAGGCACTCCTGCAATTGTCACACTTTTTCTGTTACAAACTGACTCCGGCCCCCCACCAGAGAAGGGAAAAGTTATGTGGCCCTCACAGGAAAAAGTTTGGGGAACCCTGTCTTTGCTGATCAGAACTTTGGAACAAAGAAGCAAACAGGGCTTTTCTTGAAGCTCTATTTTGGATTTGAATTTCATTAACTGCACACCTCATATATGATTCCATTAAGGTAAAATCCCAAAGGAAAGCCCTTTATAAATTAAATTTAACACAATAAAGTGGTGAGTCTTATTTTTCCAAAACTAACATTCAACTTACTTGTAGCTGAAGCAAAACGTCTGACTTGTACTCGATGATATTGCAGTGAGGAGTCGTCAGCTGTGGAATAAATCCACAAACACACCACTTATTTGACCATAAAGTCTGCAAGCCACACAGTTATAGAACGTGTCCTTTCTTTTTGCAGAATCATCATCAATTGTTTTCAAATTTATAGACAATTTTGTTACCTATCTTACCATTTACTTAGATTATCTGTTATCACTAAGGGGTTTCACAGGCTGATGGAAACAAACTACATTCTTTGTTATCTAAAGTTTTTCTTAAAAAAAAAAACATGATTTAATATTTTAGCTCTTACATTTGACGATGTGTCAGAATGTTTACATGAAACCACAAAGTTGCACTTTAATGTTGTTTGATTTGTTTCCTGACTGTTGGCCGTGATTTCGTGTTCATGGCTGAACAGTTGAAACTCATCAAACTCTAAACTTAGTTTGGATATGTTTACATTTTAACCACTATATTGTGTTACAAAATTAAACATGTCTATTCAGGACACATTACATCCATTTCTCTACTTACTGGGTATAATGAGTTCCTCCACAGGCCCAGTTCCCAAACACAGGTGGAAGACTGACAGACATATCAGGAAGGACAATGGCAGAGACATATTTGCTTTCCAACAACTTGCCAGCTACAGACGTTCCCAAGCAAGATACTGAAAAGTCCAGGTCTATTTTATAGCAACAAAACATAAAAAAGAAACTATTAAATACAACAGAACAGAAGAAAAATAGCTAAATATTGATTACTAACTGTAAAAACTCCACCACCAACCTTATAGAAGTCGCTTCAGCTGGGGGGAAATGGAGCAGAGGAAGAGGGAAACAGCTTCTGTGTTCTCTGAGTGAATGTGTGTTTGTGTGTGTCAGCATTCAAGCTTTTATGTTCAACCAGTCAGTGAAGACCACACCCACCTACTACCTGGGAGTGACGCCATGCATGCTTCTAAGCCATCAGCAGCCTTGGTGAGCATTGGAGGCAAACTGCAGAGTGGGTGTCTGGTGATGTCTCCCTGCTGCAGTTATTCAGGAAACTTCATGTTGAATATGTGGGCATGTCATCTGTTAGTGCCACGTATGTGGGGGTGTGCCTACAATTAGCTTTTTATTGTAGTTGACCTGTTGCTGTACACAGTGAGTCAATGGAGGAAAAAATGATTTGCATAGTAATT